TGTCCATCAGTCATACAAGGGAATGTTCGGACCAAGGGACAGATGGGGCATGAATGTATGGATGGTAAAGTACGTTGACCACATAACAGTGTTTAGACCACTAGGTCATCTTCAGTCCATGCATTATGCTTTTCCGGGATGATGAGTAAATATTTTCCCCATAAAAAGACAAAAAGTGGGGGAATGTAGTAGGAAGACGGCCTGAAACATAAGCCCTTGTATCAGAGGCCTGAGCTAAAGTAGTGGTCAAAACTTTGCTAATATAAAGCAAAATCAAGCTGTGAGCTAGAGGCAGGCCCTGCTCATAGCATCCGGCAAGAACAGGGCTGATATTGCAAAAACACACATTCCTAAGAGGTGCTAGGCACAGAGCACTCACGCAAACGCATTCCAGAAGGGTGGTACCAGAACACCTTGATACCAACACATTTCCTAAAGAGAACAGGAACAGGTGGACCCATCCCAAAGATAAGGTCAGGATGACAGTGTGATGGATTGAGATGTACAAGGTGATGGGTGGTAACCAGCTACGTCAGAGGGGCAGCACGTAACTTGTTTGTATTGATGTATAAAATGGAGTCTCAGAGAGAGTGTCTTTGGCTGGCCTACGGGATAGTGGAAAGTCCCGCCACTAACTGAGCTAGTCCATTGCAACGGGCATACGTGTGTTAGTGTACCTGTAACCACTGAGCCAAGGCATTAGATCCAGGCTTTGTTGACAATAAACTTGACCAAGTACCTTTGCTGAAACCCAAATCTGTGGCTTTACTGGGCAGTTCGATCAGAGCCTGCTGTACAGGCTATCTGGTCAGAGTGAGTACAGCATGTAGAGAGAACACACACATGCAGCCAAACATCTGACAACATCTGGCTGGTGGGTTTTGTCCATATGCTCATGGTCTAACTGATCACCATATTTGAGGTTGGGAAGGAATGTTCCCCCAGGCAGAGATCCTGTAGGTTTTTCACCTTCCTCTGCAGCACAGGGCCCGGGTAACTTGCTGGTAACATAAATGGTGGCGTCTCTGTCACTTGAAGTCTTCAAATCAAGATTTGAGGATTTCAGTAACTCAGCCAGAGGTGATGGGTCTATTACAGGAGCATGTGGGTGAATTTCCATGGCCTGCAATGTGCAGGCGGTCAGACTAGATGATCATGATGGTCCCTGCTGGCCTTAAAGTCTATGAGATTAAAACAGAGATAGCAAGCTGACAAGAAAAGGATAGCATTGCTTAATTGAAACTCGCACTAAATCATTTAAGTTTGCCACCAAAAAATTAATCTCTTCTCTCACCCTTTAATTTATTCAGATATTTGGTACTTCTCTTTTTTCTCTGAACCCCAAATGAAACAGAGGAAGTGGGCAGGAAAATCTAATTTTCTCTATCTACTTGGAGCAGTCCATTTCTTTCAAAACATGGGATTCCTTTGATAATACAGGCCACTTCTAAAAATGAACTTATTTAAAACAAAAGATCCTTACTCCAGAATAAATCAATGTGTTAAGATACAGGAAGCCTCCTCAAGATAGCACCTATCAGAAGTAATAAGCATAAAATCTGAGTTTGCTTCCTATCTCCAAATGAGATTTTGTTGACATTTGTTAATTTTTGTCACAGAGAATTCTCTATTTCCTTGACCGTTTTCATAACATAATATAAGATTATAGTTCATAGAACAGAAGTATAATCCTCATGGGATACAAAATGCTACAACATGCCCTGGTGGGCATCTTGTTTTAATTAAAGAAATGGAATATGCTATACCTGTCTGAAAATGCATGAAGAAATTGAACACAATTAAAGAGAAAAAGCAATTAATCTAAAATAATGGGGGAAGTTATTTTGGTAGCAATTGACATAATTTCCCTTTAGGGAATACAAAGTCTGCCCTGCCTTTTTCCCCACTGGGAAATGCAGGTTAGCTAGCGGAACTTTTGTTAAAAACAAACTAATGAAATCCCATACAAATCCCCTCTTTTCCAAAAAACCCCCTAAAATCCATAAAGAATGTCTGCACTGTCAACTGCAGACAATAAGATTGATTCTATAGAAGGATGATGTGGGACATTGTCAACAGCCATAACTCCTCCACTGTGAGATTATCAGAGATAAGGTAAGCAAGCACTGACCAGATCAATACTTGGATGAGAGAGCTCCTAGGGAAAAAAACAGGTGTGACAAGCTTGGTGATTTATTAATGAGGCACTCTGTCCTCTAAGATGATACTGAACCAGTGGTCCAGAAGGATATTAGAGGAGTATTCTGTTGCCAAAAGCTGCTGTCTTTCAGATGAGATGCAAGACAGAGTTATTAAAAATCCTACGATCCTTCTCATCTGCCCAAGAACAGTGGAGTTAGCTTGGGTGTCCAGACAAATTCCAAATTAGGTAATGACACTCTGTTAACCTAAAGTTTCCATTGCCATTTCATTCAAAGAAAGCCTTCTTCACTTATGGCCCTCACCTGTTATGCTGTGTTCATGTGTGCTCATAAGCAGATGCTCTGTTTCACCCCAGAGGTGGCTGCTGTGCACTTGTGGGAAGCAAAGTGATTCCAGTGGAGTTTATATGCTGTATAAATTAGTTAATAAAGTTTGTGAAGCATGTTAAAATCCTAAGACTCTATACAGTAAAGTGACAGGAAATCCCCAAACCATCAAGCGAAGGCTTATCAACTGGGATATATGGGTCCATATGTGCTCCCCAAAGAAATGCCAAATGGTCTAGTTGGCAGCAGGCAGCCAGCTGCCTGAAAGAGAGTGAGTGAGTGTGTGTGTCATGTGGGGAGATACAGTACAGCAGCTAGAGAAGACCAAACCTTTCCACATTGGTTCTTTTAGCTTGCACAGGCCTTTTCCCCCTGTTATTTTGGGCACTATGGGCGGAGCAAACCATTATTTTCTTGTATGGATCTTCAGAGGGTAGGGCATTCTTTGCATTTTTGTTTTAAAATCAATCGCCAGCTCACCCACCACTTACAGGGTAATATTTTCTAAATCACCACCATGACTTAGGAGCCTAAGTTACATTGGGTATTAAGTCACTTACATGATTTACCTGCATAGTCTGCCCTGTGACCAACCAACACTCCAAACAGTCTGTCACAAGGACTTCTTAGAAGACTCTGGTCCAGTGGAGCTTAGCTACATGAACAGTGCTCTGTATAATAACTCTGCTATTGTTGTAAAAGACTTTTCTTAAATACTATGATAAAAAACCCAGTTAAAATAATTATACAGATTCAAACTGTCCACCTGGGAAAGGGTGTTAGCCAAAGGGACAAATGAGGGAGTGCAGCTATAAGAACACAGAAATGGAAGGGAGAATAAGAAAAATAATTTTGGGAGGAAAGAGGTGAAGGGCAAAGACAGACAAAGATTTGTTTAAGCCAAAGAAGAATATTAAAATAGCACATTTCTAAGTAATGTACACAAACTGAGGCTTTAATCCACTGTATGATTCTAGTTACATGAACATTCCCATTTGCAAGAATATTTACCTTTCTCAGATACTTTATATCTGAGGAGTAAGACATTAAAGAGTTTATTTTTCCAAATTAGCCAAATATTTCTTATTTCCAAATGAAATATACTAAACTTAAAATGAGCTACAAAGATATTTCATCCTGCTACTCTTAACAATCACACAGCAATTTTCTGAAAAAATAATCTAAGTTACTATATAGCTAGAAAAGACCAGACTGCTGTGCAATTTACAGGGATAGGTATCCACATTATCACTGCATTACACAAGTCAAGGTTTCATTTATTTCACTTCCTTTTTCAATCTGAAACAAAATATAAGAAAGGCAATGATACTGCTCATTAGGATTTTGCAACTTTTTAGAAAAAGAACAGAACCCTTCCCTGCCAAAGTATCAACATTCCAGCGCTCTCATAACTTTGCTTTTGGTTTTCACAGACATTATTCCATTTTTATTTTATATTTGCAGAGTATTACCTGCCACTTGACTTTCAGGAAGGTCATCGTGAGATCACACAAACAAATCCACTCTGTTCTCACAACAGACCTTTTTCTAGTTCTGCTTGAGAAAAGAGATGACCTTTAATAGCTGTGTGTCTGTCATATAATCCTGACCTCCCTTTCAACAAAATAAGCAGGATTCCTAGCTGCTGTCTACTGCCTTTTCTGACTCCACATACACAATATTTTCCTTTGAAAGCTGCAAATTGTTGCTCTTTAGATTCTGATCCAGGTATTTAAAGAAACACTAGGAGCATGAAAGTCAACAATTTTTTTTCCCAAGAAATACTGCTGTACAAAAATATATGAACCCAGAGCATGTCCTTTTTCTGTGTAGGAACAAGGCCATGGTGTTCTAAAGGCAAAATGTACTCAATAATAACAGAATAAACTCTCTACAACATTTTTCTGTGCTCCGAAAAGTGCCCTTTGGCATGATGAACACTGTACACTTAAGGGGCTGAGACCAGAAATAGTGGATCTGTTCTTTTAGCAGCTTAACAAAGGGCTTACCTACACTGGTAGTTCGGGCGCCGTAAGCCAAGGTGTGACTTTACCACACACTATCTTGTCCCTCACTAATTCGTCATGTGGACCCTGCTACAGGCACAGTAAACGTTTCATGGGAGTACATCAAAGTGTACTATACAACCTCCAGTGTGCGGTAGGGTGCATGAGGCCATTTAGTGCACACCAAACTAGTGCGCTGGAGATTCACACCCTGGCTTGCAGTATGCTAACTTGCCATGTAGACAAGCCCTTACAGTGGGTTTGACTCAGAAAACATGTGCCTAGGATCTAGATTGAGCTGCAATTTCTATATATAAGGCAATGTACATTGTGCCTGTATTAGTTACCATGGATGCCCCTTTATTAAAGGGGTCAACAGCTTCAGGTAGTACAGACGTGTGTCTGATGGAATCTATCAGAGAGAACGAAAGGGCAGATATTCAGTAACCTGCATATGAGACGTTTTGTTGATATGAAGTATAATGCAATAATAGTGACTTCTTACTCTTCTAAAGCTTGAAGCATGTTCTTGGAGTCTTCAAAGGCCAGTATCTCAATGATTTGGTCATTCATAATGATATCTTCATTAAACGGATCTCCTGAATTAAACTGTGAATACTCCAGTTTGTGATCTAGAGTAAGATCATATCGTATCTCCTAAGTAAACACAAAAAAGAAACGTTATATTATAGCAGATCAACCCTTAGTGTGGATACAACTCCTATTGTTGTCAGTGGAAAGACTCCCACTTACTTCAGCAGGAGTTTGTGTGGATGCTACGTTTTGGTATATAACTGAGCAGGACCCTAAATGACGAAAACAGTCAATGGAATTAAGGCTCTTAGCTCTTAGGCTCCTAAATCAGCTAGGCATTGCAATGCTAAGCACTGCAACACCTAAACACCTTTAAAAATTTGGGCCAAAGCCCACTGAAGTCAATAGGAGCCTATCCATTGGCTTCAATAGGCTTTGGACCAGCCTCAGTGAGTAATTTTCCACTCAATCTCTAGGATCATTCTATCTGTATTATGGTACATACAACCTTTTATATACACTTGTTGAACAAAATCACACATAATTCTATGTTTGCAGTGTTGTTGTACTCATGTTGGTCCCAGGATATCAGGCAGATGATGTGAAAAGGTTGGTGAGGTAGTATCTTTTAAATGGGCCAACTTCTGTTGGTGGAAGAGACAAGTTTTGGAACTACACAAAGCTCTTCTTCCGCAGACCTAAAGAAGATCTCTGTGTAGCTTGCTTCCATCAACAGAAGCTGATATGAAATTCTATGAAAGAGGAAAAACAATTTCGCTAGTATACAGTACCTATGGAGTCCCTTGAGATTAAGGTTTACTAAATTCACCAGACAAGAAAACCTTTATAAACTTCTGGTGCTGGGACGATTCTGTTACACTTTTATGATTTCAGCATCAAGCCTTATTCATAAAAGGGAGACTGATGTGAGCTATTTTCACTTACTGTGATTTCTTCTGAATGAAGAGAAATCAAAAGGTTAATAGAGACATTTTTCAAACACGATGCTCACTGATAAGTAAGGAACTTTCTTTCTCTTAGTAAGTCATTATTTTACAATAAATACAATCTTTATTGTAAATTTAAATAGGATACATGTCCATCCTTCTCTGTACCACTTGTAGGACTCTTCCAGCAGAAACTCATGAGACACAAAAGTTAAAAAGACATTGAAAGAATTGTTTAGAAAAGGCGAACTGCAAAGACAAAACAACAGTACATTGTTCCCTCCCCTCCCT